ACAGTAAAGAAACTATATTATCAGTTTGCTGCATTACTTAAATTTCTCCACCTTGTCTTTCTCCTCCCCTTCTTTCTTTCTTTCTTTCTTTCTTTCTTTCTTTCTTTCTTTCTTTCTTTCTTTCTTTCTTTCTTTCTTTCTCTCTCTCTCTCTCTCTCTCTCTCTCTCTCTCTCTCTCTTTCTTTCTTTCTTTTTTCTTTTAGATAGAGTAGCCCTTAGTACACCTGGCTATTCTAGAAATAGCACTGTAGACCAGGCCTTGAGCTCAGAAGTCTGCCCGCCTTTGTCTCTGCCTCCCAAGTGCTAAGATTAAAGGCATGTGTCACCATGCCTGGCTATTTCTTTTTTTCCTTAAGAATGCATTAATAGAAGATATTGCAGTTTAACCTCCTCCAACTCTTACTAGATGCTCCCCACCTCCTGACCTGCTTAACTCCATGCCCCACCCCCATGTGAGTGGTATAAAATCCCAAAAGTTCATGTGATTTTACAGCATTCATCAAAACACAGTATTATAGACATGAAAAATGAAGAAACTGATTGCCAGGAATTAAGAAGATAGCTGTTATGGGTTGGCAATTATGGCTATGATTGTAGAAGTAGAACTGTCCTAATCTTAATTCTATTGGTTTTTAATTAACAACTTTTCCCTCCTACCTCGGACACGATTACTGCCCCAATGGCTAATATGCTGGCAGCTTGGTCCCCATGTGGCAATATTGAGAGGTGGTTGTACTTGTAAGAGTCAGGGCCTATATATAGTGCGGCAGCCCTGGAAGTGGGACTGCTGCTCTCTGCAGGAGTTAAGTTTGTTTTTACCTATAACCTGCTCAAGTCCTGCAGAAGGATTTTTTTCAGAGAGCAAGACTAGTCCCGGTTACTCTGGCTTCCTGCCTCAACATATCTCTCTCAAATATTCTCCCAAAGTGTCATTTACTGTGGTGTGGCATCAACAATTTGGCCCTGACCTGAGTCCATGTTCATGAGACAGTATATTGCCTCTTGTCCTTTGACCACTAAAACAGTTAAAGACGGACCACAATCCAGTGTGTAGGGTTATGAGAGTGCATTAGAGTCTTTGGGATACAGGATATAGTAATGTGAATCTAAAATATCTCAAACATAAATTTAAAAGCTAACATACATATGGACAGTAAATATGTCATTTTGTCAGTTATAACATGAGCCTTTCAGGCTTGACATCACAATGGTCAGTCACTATGACTAACGTAGAATCTTTAGGTCTCAGTGGTTGGTCTGCCAACTGCTCTGTCTGCCTTTGGCGTCTAGTGCCAAGGATTAAGAGAAGTTTAGTCTACTGAAAGGCTCTCCATTCAAGGCTTCACTGGAAAGGTATTCTCTTAAGAACTAGTTCTGATCCTTATGATAGATGGGTGGGCTCGAATTATTCTGTCTTGTTTTCTCCAGATCATGTGAACTTGTTCTACACTCAGCACAGCCCTCGTGAGAAACGAATCATTTTATGAAGTTCAGTGCTGATCCCCTCAGAAAGGAGATATCACGGTGTCAGGGGACAGAGGTCCTTGGACACGTGGGACAAAAGTGCTTGTAAATGAACATGCCTGTCCAAGTTAGGAAGGAGGATTTACGTTTTGCTGAACTTGGTCATTTTGCCCAGTGTGAGCATGAAGGCCAACTGAATAGCGGTAGGACCTCAACCAAACATCTAAGAACTTTCTGGTTCTCAGAAATTTTTTAGTGTTTCTACATTTATTGTTGCTAACACCAGTTTTACAAATTTGAACTCTGTTTTACCTAAACTAGGAATGGCTTTTCCAAACATCCTTATGTACTTGAATTTACATGAAACCAAGTGTGAATTACTTTGGCCTTCAGTCAAATTAGACAGCTGTTGCTTTCCACGACATATGAACATCGCTATGACAAAAATAGGGTTACAGCTGGTGATGCGAGTTACAGCGTGTGAAGGAGTATCTCAGGTCAGACCCACAAATCCTGAGTTTGTGTCTGAAGTCGGGGCGTTTCAGCATTATGGACTTACCCTCCACCGCTGAGAGGAAAGCAAGCCACACAGAAACTGCCTGTATTGTTTCTGTAGTCATTTGTTTACTCTGAACATCACAAGGAGAAGAGGTTTTCAATGCATGGCCTTAAGCTTTTTGTGTGATATCTTGCTTGTAATTCTTTGGGTGAGCACTATCACCCCAGCTGGTGTAACCACACAGGAATATGTATACACACAAATGCGCACTGTATGTTTAGGTAAACATAAGCTAACTTGATTCCTTGAGGGTTAATCAGACTTTCTATTTGTCTCTCAGCCCTTCCTCTGCTTCTGTAGTGACCGTGGAATCAGAGCCTCCCTCTCCATGCTTCCCACTTTCTCCTTCAGATCACCTGCTTCCTGCTGGTCCCCTTCACAGTCCCTGCCCCCATGGTCCCTTTTTACTTCTGCTCTTTTTGCAGTTACTCCATGTTGTATATTCATTTTTGAGGATTTTGAGCTAAGAACTGCAGACGAGAGAGAACATGTGCTGTTTGTCTTTCTGTGTCTCTGTTACCTCATACTATATACTTTTGGATTTCCATACACGTAACTGCAAAGTTCATGACTCTGTTGTTCTTTACAACTGAACAGTATTCTTTTGTGTGCATGTACCGCAATTTTATTGTCCATTCATCTGTTGAAGGATATTCCAGTTGCTCTATTTTCTAAATGCTGTGAACAGAGCAACAGTGAACACGGCTCAGCAGGTGTCTGCGGAGTAGAGTTGAAGTTCTTTGTGCATATGCCGAGGAGTTGGCCAGCTGGGCCATATGGCAGATTTCTCTAAGTGAGGACTCTCCAGACTGATTGCCCGGGTGGCTTCTTAAGTTTTTATTCCCGCTAACAATGAGTTTTCCTGGTTCCCCACACTTTTGTGTGTGATGGCCTTTGTTTTGTTGACGTTAGCCATTCTGAGTGGGGTAAGATGAAATCACAAACTTGTTTTTGATTGGCACTTCAGGAACTGATAAGGAAGATGAGCACTTGTTGAGATATTTCCTGGTCAAAACTGTCTTATTTGAGTCTTTCTTGAAGATTATATCACAGTGACTTTCATGAACACATATTTATGAAAACATATAAACAAAAATCACATATACATATATGCACGTATATACAAACATACATGTATTTCGGCAAGTCCAAGTGAAAAAGACAGAGAATGGAAACAATGATTTAGTTAGAGTTAGAAAACTGAGTCTATGGCACTCTTCACATTTCTCATAAACTTTATCCTACTGACCCCTGATTATGCTACTGACCTCTTGACTATCCAATTGACCTCTATCCTGTTGACCTCTGACTATCCTGTTTAACTCTGGCTATCATGGTGACCTCTGACTATCCTACTGACCTCTTGACTATCCAATTGACCTCTATCTGACTATCCTGTTGAACTCTGACTATCATGGTGACCTCTGACTATCCTACTGACCTCTGGCTATCTTATTGACCTGTGGCTATCCTATTGACCTCTGACAATCTTGGTGACCTCTGACTATCCTGGCGACCTCTGACTATCCTATTGCCCTCTCTCCTGTTGACCTCTGAGTATCCTATTGCCCTCTTTCCTGTTGACCTCTGAATATCCTGTTGACCTCTGAATATCATGTTGACCTCTGGCTATCTATCGTAGTGACCTCTGACTATCCTGCTGACTTTTGTTCCGTTAGTGTTTGCCCTGTGACAGGAGAAGCCTCTTTACTGAGATGGAAATTCTAAATGGGAAAGTCACAGATGCGAAAATCAAGAATCAACCCCTGATGTTCCATGGAGAAGTGGAACTCAGAAGAGGCGGTGTCAGTAAGAAGTGTCACCTCTACCTGTACAGAGATTTCTTGGTTGTGACGAATAGTTGGTATGCTTTACTTTCAGACTCCTAATTACCAGAAGTCACAATGTGTCACCCTTACCGTGGGACAATCCAAGGGAATTTGCCCTTATGATTTTACAAATGTTTTGATTCTTTATTTATTTAACAATCCATGGAGCCTTTGTTTTGTCCAATGCCCTAGTAGAAAATAAAATGACAAATCTATACTAACAGCCATGCTTGTTTGCACATACCAATAACACAAACATTTTGGGATGTTATTAGCATAACCAACTATAGATCTGGCTATTAAGGGGGAAAGAAACAAATGGCAACCTGGGGGGAATGTTTGAGAATAAAATTGTTGTGGTACATTATTCATACTTCCAAGATAGCTTGTAGATTTAAAAATCCCTTAACAAGTTCATGGAATTGATCCACACACTCCAACTATAAAAAGCAATCCCAGTGCAAAGAATGCTGGCCCTTGGAAAGAGGAAGCCCACACTGGATGGAGGAGAGACTTGTTCCCCAGAGCTGTGCTCCCACAAGGATGCTGAGAACATGAAGAGTTGGGGAGGCTCAGCAGTTCTGATCTGTGGTTGGCTATTCCATTTCCTGGATCAAAACCCTGTCTCTGTTGCTTTCGGCTATTAGCCATTCTGACCCTTCCTCACGCATGGAGTGGGGTCAATAGAGATTATCTGATGCTGTTGAGGTTAAATTGAACAGCAATCATTTTTAGGTTTCTTAGAAAATGGCAGGTAGCTATCCATCATGTCACAGCAGAATGGGTAATGTGTTCTTTAAATCCAACTGTTGACTCGGGTTTAAGGAAGCGTGAAACCTGAATTCATTGAAATAAGACCAAATTATTGAAATGAATGTTTCCTCTCTGTACATATGAGAAAGAATAGTTAAGACAGTATGCTTCAAATACATTGTATAATCTATACTCAATGCAGATGTGGAAAGGGTACTGTCAGAGCCTCCCAGAGGCACACTGCCCTCAGTGAGGCTTTACTGGATTCTATCTGCCCACTTGCTGGGCTGTGCCTGGAGGGATAGAGATGAATTGGTGCTGATTTGCTTATGCCATGAGCACAGATTACCCCATTTAAAAAACAAACTAACACAGATTTTCTTTAATTCTTTTTAGGTATAAGATAACCTTTAAGATAAAATATGTCATCCCTCTGACATCCCTCTGGATTGGGGACTGTGTGGACACAGACTTTGTAGGCCCCAGTCAGGCCAGGAAATCCATTTTCCTAGGCTGGCCCATGGAGAACTTCATCGCCACTTTCCGGTAATAACCAGAACTTGTTCCTTTGGTGGCACTGGGTGTGTATGGAAGGACACAATTGACATTATAATATCTAGTACACACAGACAGTTTAAATGTAAAATCTGTTCTCAGAACTTAAAAGAAAAAACCATTTTAATCTGATTGTATGAACACTGTCTCTTTATAACCTACTGTATTATTTTCTAAGAGACATTTCAACAGGCTTTCATTTTAAAATGAATCAAAAGTGGGAGTCATTTAAGGAACATCCTAAGATATTGATCATTGGTTTTTTAGCAGACACCAATTTCCTGGTAGCCAGAATAAAAGGGTGTGCAGCTTCTATGGAAGGAAGTGTAGGGAGGAAGGCTTTGGGACTTCTTTTCCAGAATCTTAGATAGATGATCAGGTGTTATCCTACTAGATGAATATGTTAGGTACTTTTCTTCAGTAATATTAATTATGCCAGTTAGCATCAAAAATTCCTTTGATGCCCCCAAATGATCAGGATCTTACTGTACTAAATTATATTTCTGTCATAAATGTCAAGAACTGCAAGTGTCTGTTTATCAAATTACATATTTGATGACTACAGACAAGAGGCGAGACTGGCATCATTAGACTCTCAGAGGTGACTTGTGGGGAGCAGGCTAGTTTCCCATTCTCAGGCCACCATGTAGATAGGGACTGTCAGTGTGTCCTAGAGAGCTCTCAAGTGGCACTGAGCTTAGGGACTCCCAGGGATCGTGTGGAAGCACATGCTACTCTGGACAGCCACAGAGCAGCTCTATATGAAACACACTAGCTACCGTATGAAAACAATCCACCTACCATATGAAAACAATCCACCTACCATATGAAAACACACTGGCTACCATATGAAAACACACTAGCTACCATATGAAAACACTCTAGCTACCATATGAAAACACACTGGCTACCATACGAAAACACACTAGCTACCATATGAAAAAACACTGGCTACCATATGAAAACACACTGGCTACCATATGAAAACACACTGGCTACCATATGAAAACACACTAAATACTATATGAAAACACACTGGCTACCATATGAAAACACTCTAGCTACCATATGAAAAGTTCATGCATGAGGTCCACACTGTTCTGTCCTCCCATCAATCCTCCTCCAGACCTCAAGCCTCACCCCAGAGTTCCCTCAGCTAACACACATGTCTTCATGCTTTGTAACATTACTCAATACAGCCTCAGCTCATTACGTAAGGAAAACATTCCCAGAGATTTTTTGGGAGAAATCCATCATTGTGTCCTTCTCTCAGTCCTTTCTATTGTATCACTGATTTGCCAGGTTATTACATTTTATTTTGATTGTTCCCTTATGTTTGACATGTGATGAAGCAGTTTAAATGCATATATGTAAAGAGTTTGATGAGAAATTTCCAAGAGTTCTTCTTACACTGAGTGGCTGAACTTTAGATATGTTCATTATGTTAGGTTGGTTGTTCAGACCAGTTCTTAACACTAGTATCACTCATTTGTAGCAATGCATGTCACTCAGTGAATTTCATCTCTGTTGTTATTTTCCTTATGTAACTTTGAGGGATTAGAAGTGGTATACTCATACATTAGGGGCCGTATGGATGGCTGGTAGACCTCTCTGATAAATGCATCCCCAGAATAATACAGATGGGAAATCGGGAGCACTTGAGGAGCTGTTAGTGAAGTAAGCAAGAAATATGCTCACCATTGGGAAAAAGGACAATTGAATGGTTCCACAGGAAGTCCAACAACTATTCCATGTGAGTCGGCAGCTCTGATCCTATTTGTAGACTCATGTAAAATGAAAACACACTACATTAAAGACTATGCACAAAAATTTCAATAGCATAGTTCACTACTAGCAATAGTATAAGAAACTAAATATTCAACCATTAAATGGATAACAGAAATGAAATACTTTCAGGAAGTGTTCAATTTTATATATCTCTTGTATGATCCAATGCAAACAAATCTTCTACCTTTGCAATCTCTTCAGTCAGCAGGAACCCACAAGGCTCAATCTCCCTTTTATCTGGTGAACATCAAGCTCAGAGCAGCTGCCTCACCAGACAGGGCTCAGTTATCACAGATCACACCAAGTTCCCCACCACTGCCCACTTCTCGTCACTAGGAGGTCCTCTGTCAAAGGGCAGGTCTGTCAGGTTCCCAGATGTGTGCAGGACACTCACTTGATAACCACAGACCACAGGCTTCTAATATTGTGTCATGAAAGAAACTCGACTTTATATGATTTAACTTTTCTCCATCTTTATATTACAGGTCTGTGGACCAAAAAAGAGATTGGTGGTGTTTCCTTGAAAGGTAGTTTGCTGTGCATTTTTAATTCTGTAAGCAGTGATGAATGAATAAGAGTCTGTGCAACATACAGGCCTGTTCCCCTTGTTCTGATAGAGCTTTTAGTCTGTCCCTAGTCATCTTCTGGGCTAGATGGTCTGGCGACTATTGTAATTTCTCTCTTCTCTGTGTTTGAGGAAGTGTGGTGGCTGCCATTCTCATACGTTCCTCTTCTCCCTCCTTTATGTTGGAGCAAAGATTATTCCAAAACATAATAGTACTGCTCAGACACATCACTGAAAACAAATGCTACTCCTTGTTCATAAACTCTGTAAAGTGTCGTCTACAGTAATGTACACAGGAATGTTTGACAACTGGCACTGTTTCCTAACTGTCAAAACCTAAGACAGCTCTGTCTTCTAGAACTTACCCTGTTATTCCAAACCGTGTTTTTCATTTGATGTGCAATGATATTTCTGCTTAGTTCATCCATTTGCTTTAAACATGTTTAAGCATTGACAAACTGGATTGATGAACAAGTTTATTTCATATCTTTGTCTTTTTCTTGAATGTGAGCAGATCTATTAAACAGACAAAGGAGAAGTACCATGGGAGGAGTACTGCACTGGAGATATTCACAGATGTCATCCCGAGCTCGAACACTGTATGTACCTCAGACTAAAATGACGTTATAATAATAATAGATGCGGAAAAGGAAGATGAGGTCAAGGAAGAGAAGTTAGTGGAAGAATGGGGAGAAGTGGGATGAAAAGGGGGAGAATTAGAGAGATAAAAATGGCAGGACATTGAAAGTTTAGTCAGTGCTACCAGGAAATAAGTATTTTCCTGTATACAAATGCATCTTTGCCTGTAGAAAACAACTGCTAATTAACATGAATCAAGAGTAAGCCTTGCTAGCTACATTACACAGACATAGCAAAATGGGTCATACAAAATGACAATGAACTGAGTATTGGTGGTATTCTTATATATTTTTGGTTGTGAGCCTAGCCTTTAACAGCTGAGCCATCTCTCTAGCCCTGGTGGTGTTCCTATAGAACCGTTTTCCTAAGCAGTCATTTAGTTCGATGTCAGATGTTGGTTTGCTGTATATTGTTTCTAATATGTTCAGGTATGTTCCTGTTATCCCTGATCTCTCCAGGACATTTACCATGAAGGGGTGTTGGATTTTGTCAAATGCTTTTCCAGCATCTATTGAGATGATCATGTGGTTCTTCTTTTTCAGTTTGTTTATGTGGTGGATTCTACTGATGGATTTTTATATGTTGAACCATCCATCCCTTCATCCCTGGGATGAAGCCTACTTGATCATGGTGGATGATTTTTCTGATGTGTTCTTGGATTCAATTGGTCAGTTTCTTATTGAGTATTTTTGCATCAATATTCATGAGGGGTATTGGTCTGCAGTTCTCTTTCTTAGTTATGCCTTTGTGTGGCTTGGGTACCATGGTAATTGTAGCCTCGTAAAAAGAATTTGGCACTGTCCCTTCTATTGTGCGGAAGAGTTTGAGGAGTGCTGGTATTATCTCTTCTTTGAATTTCTGGTAGAATTCTGCATTATAACCATCTGGCCCTGGACTTTTTTTGGTTGGGAGACTTTTGATGACCACTTCTATTTCATTAGGAGTTATACATAAGTTTATTGAAATTGCTTATCTGTTCTTGATTTAATTTTGTTAAGTGATATCTATCCAGAAAATTGTTCATTTCGTATAAGTTTTCGAATTTTGTGGAGTACAGGTTTTCAAAGTATGATCTGATGATTCTCTGGATTTCCTCAGTGTCTGGTTGTTATGTCCCCCTTTTCATTTCTGATTTTGTTAATATATATGCTCTCTTTCTCTCTCTACCCTTTGGTTGGTTTGGATAAAGGGTTGTCTATCTTGTTGATTTTCTCAAAGAACCAACTCTGTATTTCATTGATTCTTTGTATTGTTTTCATTGTTTCTACTTTATTAATTTCAGCCCTCATTTGATTATTTCCTGGCATCTACTCCTCCGGGGTGACTTTGCTTCTTTTTGTTCTATAGCTTTCAGTTGTGCTGTTAATTCTCTAGTGTGACTATTCTCCAGTGTCTTCATGTAGGCATTTAGTGCTATGAATTTTCCTCTTAGCTCTGCTTTCAAAGTGTTCTATAAGTTTGGGTAGTTATGTTTCATTCTCGTTGCATTCTAGGAAGCCCTTAATTTCTTTTTTTATTTCTTCCTCGACCAGGAATGGTTCAATTGCGCATTATTGAATTTCCATGAGTTTGTAGGGTTTCTGCAGTTTGTGGTGTTGTTGAATTTTAACTTTAAATCATAGTGATCTAATGGGATACAAGGGGTAATTCCAGTTCTTTTTCCTATGTTGCCTAGGATGTGGTCGATTTTAGAGAAGGTTCCATGTGGCGCTGAGAAGAATATATATTCTTTTGTGTTTGGATGGAATATTCTACAGATGTGTGTTAATCCCAATTAGGTCATAATTTCTGTTAGTTCCTTTGTTTCTTTAAGTTTCTGCCTGGTGGTCCTGTTTAGTGGTGAGAGTGGGGTGCTGAAGAATCCCAATATGAGTGTGTGAGGTTTTATGTGTGATTTGAATTTAGTAATGTTTCTTTTATGAATGCGGGTGTCTTCATATTTGGGGCATAGATGTTCAGAATTCAGACTTCATCTTGATGGACTTTTCCTGTGATGAATATGACATGACCTTCTTTATCTTTTTTGATTGATTTTAGTTTGAAGTCTAATTTGTTAGATATTAGGATTGCTACACCACCTTGTTTCTTGGGTCCATTTTATTGGAAAATCTTTTCCCAACCCTTTACTTTGAGGAAACATCTGTCTTTGATATGGAGATGTGTTTCTTGAATAAAGCAGAAGGATGGATTTTGTCTTTATATCCATTCTGTTAGCCTGTGTCTTTTTTTATAGGCAAGTTAAGGCAATTGCCATTAAAGGATATTAATGACCATGGGTTGTTAATTCTTGTTTGTTTTTGTTTTGGTGGTGGTGGTGGTGGTATTGTGTGTGGATTTCCTCCCATTTTTTCTTTAGGTGTTTGGTAAAGTGGGATTATCTATTGCCTATGTTTTTGTGAGTGTAGTTAATTTACTTGGGTTGGAGTTTTCCTTCCAGCACTTTCTGTAGGGCTGGATTTGTGGATACATATTCTTTAAGTCTGGTTTTGTCATGGAATATCTTGTTTTCTCTATCTATAGTGATTGAAAGTTTTGCTGGGTATAGTATTTTGAGCTGTCATCCTTGTTCCCTTAGCTTTTGTAGAACATCTCTCCAGGACCTTCTGGCTTTTCAGACTTTCTGTTTAGAAGTCGGGTGTTATTTGGATAGGTCTGCTTTTATATGTTACTTGGCTGTTTTTCTTTGCTGCTCTTAATATTTTTCTTTATTCTATAAGTTTGGTGTTTTGATTATTTGTGGCAAGAGGACTTCTTTTTGTGGTCCAGTCTATTTAGTGATCTGTCAGCTTCTTGTACTTTCATAGGCGTATCCTTCTTTAGGTTGGAGAAGTCTTCCTCTATGATTTTGCTGGGTATGTTTTCTGAATCTTTGAAGTGTATTTCTTCACTTCTTTCTATACCTATTATTCTTACATGTATGTAATCTATGTAATTCTTAGACTTTTTCGGTCATCCCCAGTGTTATTTACCCCTCCTCTCTCTCTCTCTCTCTCTCTCTGCTTATGTGTCTTACCCCCAAATGTAGTATACCTGGCTCTATTTTCCCCATTCCCCCCTTCATATCACAGGTATCCTCCTGTTGTCCTCTCTAGAGCTCCTGTCATGGTCCTGTTGTCCTCTCTAGAGCTCCTGTCATGGTCCTGTTGTCCTCTCTAGAGCTCCTGTCATGGTCCTGTTGTCCTCTCTAGAGCTCCTGTCATGGTCCTGTTGTCCTCTCTAGAGCTCCTGTCATGGTCCCCCTTTACTTTCCTGTTTCCTGCAGTTCCTCCAGGCCATGTATTCACATCTAAAGGTTTGGAGTCAGGAACCATAAATGAGAGGGTGCATGCAGTCTATCTTTCCAGTTCTCTGTTACAGCTCTAAATATAATATTTTATGGTTTCATCTATTTGCCTTCAGCATTCAGCTTTTCTTTCGTTGTTGTTATTGTCTTGTTGTTTTTCAAGACAGGGTTTCTCTGTCAGGTAGCCCTAACTGTCCTAGGACTTGCTCTGTAGACCAGGCTGGCCTCAAACTCAGAGATCTGCCTGCCTCCACCTGGGATTAAAGGTGTGCCCCACAGCTCCCAGACCCCAGAGTGTGTATATACCACATTTTAATTATCTAGTTATTAGTTGAAGGATATTTTCATTGTTTTCCATGTGTTATGACTAGGGCAGCAATGAACATGGCCAAGTAATTATCTGTGGAGTAGGATAGCTAGGTCGTTGTGTATATTCTAGGAAGTGGTGCATCTTTTATGTGATACATTTATTTTTGGCTCTTTAAAAATTATCCTTACTGGCTTCCATGGCAGCTGTCCCTGTCTACAATCTCACAACAGTGAATGAGTGCTCCCATTTTCTGTTTACAGTCTCACAACAGTGAATGAGTGCTCCCATTGTCTGTTTACAGTCTCACAACAGTGAATGAGTGCTCCCATTGTCTGTTTACAGCCTCACAACAGTGAATGAGTGCTCCCATTTTCTGTTTACAGTCTCACAACAGTGAATGAGTGCTCCCATTGTCTGTTTACAGTCTCACAACAGTGAATGAGTGCTCCCATTTTCTGTTTACAGTCTCACAACAGTGAATGAGTGCTCCCATTTTCTGTTTACAGTCTCACAACAGTGAATGGGTGCTCCCATTGTCTGTTTAGAGCCTCACAACAGTGAATGAGTGCTCCCATTGTCTGTTTACAGCCTCACAACAGTGAATGAGTGCTCCCATTTTCTGTTTACAGTATCACGACAGTGAATAAGTGCTCCCATTTTCTGTTTACAGTATCATGACAGTGAATGAGTGCTCCCATTTTCTGTTTACAATCTCACAACAGTGAATGAGTGCTCCCATTTTCTGTTTACAATCTCACAACAGTGAATGAGTGCTCCCATTTTCTGTTTACAATCTCATAACAGTGAATGAGTGCTCCCCTTTCTCTGTTTACAATCTCACAACAGTGTGCTCCCCTTTCTCTGTTTCCAGTCCCACAACAGTGAATGAGTGCTCCCATTTTCTGTTTACAATCTCACAACAGTGAATGAGTGCTCCCATTTTCTGTTTACAGTCTCACAATAGTGAATGAGTGCTCCCCTTTTCTGTTTGCAATCTCACAATAGTGAATGAGTGCTCCCCTTTTCTGTTTACAATCTCACAACAGTGTGCTCCCCTTCTCTGTTTACAGTCCCACAACAGTGAATGAGTGCTCCCATTTTCTGTTTACAATCTCACAACAGTGAATGAGTGCTCCCATTTTCTGTATACAATCTCACAACAGTGAATGAGTGCTCCCCTTTTCTGTTTACAATCTCACAACAGTGTGCTCCCCTTTCTCTGTTTACAGTCCCACAACAGTGAATGAGTGCTCCCCTTTCTCTGTTTACAGTCCCACAACAGTGAATGAGTGCTCCCATTTTCTGTTTACAGTCTCACAACAGTGAATGAGTGCTCCCATTTTCTGTTTGCAATCT